TGTCCCAGAGAGCACTTCTTTGATGTATTAAAAGAAATAGACAGACGCAAATCCTTAGAAGAGAAAATATACTGGGACTTCAGAGCTTTAGACTTCGAGGGAAATAACAGAATTTCCATTGAATCAACACTCTTCTTGTTCAAAGCTGTCCACGAAGAGACATTTTCTCTCAAAACTTGGAATAACTTTATAAAGCAAAGGTTGAATCCYTCTAGTGATGTGTCCTTTGACGAGGTTAAGATATTTCTATGTAATCTGCCAGTTGGGGGACCTTGTGATGATGGGGAGTTTATGCAAGAGCGAGATGAAGTAACAAAACGAAATGCAGAAGATAGTTACAGAACAGTCAAGGAGTTGAGAGACCTCCAGGTAATGTAAACCTTCATTTCATCACCAAGTTGAGTCTTCTCAGGAGCATTATATAAATTGCTTTTCACAATGGTTAAGAGTAGCATGAGTGCTGTCGGCATGCCAGTGTCTTTCCTGTTGCCGCATGTACATGTAGCAAAATCTAGTAACAAACAGCTGTGGAATCTGGAATCCGTATCCTGGAATCCGGAATCCAAATATTTGTAATCCAGAATCGAGCAAAAATTTTGAAATCCAAAAAAACACATCTGGAATCCCAAAACAAAAATTCTTTGGAATCCGGAATCTCAAGGCTTGGAATCCAGATTCCAATTTTCCAATCTTCTTCACAGTAATCCATTTGCTATCGTGCAATCAATCCATGCATTGAAATGAGATGATCGGTTGTGTACAATGATCAACAACAGACAATAGTATATGGGTGTGAACAAAAGTTTCAATTGCCAGCTTTCATGTCGGAGCAGGAAACTGGATGTTTTAAAATCGCACAATATCGTTGTGTGACCTACTAACATTATCTGAAAGAGTAAATCTAAATCAATAAAACGCAAAGTTTGGTGGAAATTAAGTCAATAATTAAAAAATTATAGCCATATTAAAAAACTCTCCTATTCAAGTGTATGTCTATAGATTGTGGGGAATGCTTTACCACAATCTATACATGTATTCTTTTGTAAATTTTAACATTTTTGAAATTCTTAGATATTCATCTGAACTAAACAAAACTTGGGGATATTATCAATTTTGACGTGCTCTTCCAAATGATATAGATAACTTGGCGATTTTTTCAATCTTAAAACTCGAACCCAGCCTCCTGCTCTGACATGAAAGCCGGCAATAGTCTCCTTCACGGTTACCTGTGCCATCTTGAAAGGTAGCCGTGCCTTGTCATCGAAGCGAGACAACCGTTGAGCGTGCAATGATAGAAACCTTCTTTCACACCTATAGACAATTATTCACAGGTATCTATCATTGCATGCTCAACGGTCGTCTCACTTCGGTGCAAAGGCACGGCTACCTTTCAAGATGGCGCAGGTAATCATGAAGGAGACTATTGCAATCTCACTGGTTGCCTTGCTTTGATGCAAAATCAGGGCTATATTTCAGATGGCAGAGAGAACCATGAAGAAGACTATTGACGCAGCTCCAAAACTTGACCAGACCCTTGTACAATTTGATATTATTTTAAATAGTCTAATGAATTGTGATAACAAAGTAAAAAATGTACATTTTATTTACAGAGTGATGATGCCAGTTTAGCTGCAGAAGAGAGAGAGAGACAAGACAAAGCTAATAAACTGAAACATGAAGCCAAACGTCGWACAAGAAGACTTGAYCATGAAGGYGTTGAAGCTCTGTTGCATGAYGATGAGGATTGGGAYGAGGAAGCSGCTAGGAAGGCACGACAGAGAGTGACAGCCTCTGAGYTAACTCATGCTCTTAAAAAGAAGTGAGTCTGTTAAAGCAATCTGTGCTGAATGAATCCTKAGATACTGGACTATCAATATTTCAATCAAATTTTCAATTTCCTGAATTTGCTTGAGTCAGCAATTGACAATAATTTAAAATCAAGGTGTAAGTTAAGCTGTATTTTAGCTAGTTTAGCTTCTGCTTCAAACTATACTGGAGCCCTGCCTTACAGTCTCCTAGCCTCCTCATCTTGCTTTTCCAGTTTTAATATACTTTGGGTTCCCTGTGGAAAAAATTAGGAAAGAAAGGGGGACCTCGCCCCCCCTTGTAACTAGTCCCAGTCTCTTACTGTTCTAACRCAGAAAGCCTGCTTTTTTTAAAAGGGAAGAGACGAACGCCATAGTAACCTCTACTTTTTTAATCAATTAGATATGAACACCTCCGSGAGACTCTATTGAGAGAGATGCTCAAAAACCACATCGGGGAAGGGATGTGGACGGCTCTGTCACCCCAAGAACAAAGTGAACGCAYTACCCAGCTTGYTGTCAAGGTGAAAAAGCTTCGTAAGGAGGGCAAACTTGATGCAAGAACTGCCAGCACTCTTCCAGGATCTGGAGAAATGTTTTCTCTTAATATGATGGCCCTAATGGGTACCAGCCGATTTGGCGCCAAAAGGCTTCATAAAGAAGAAGAAAARCTAAGAGGACTGATGAAAGAAAAAGGTGGGCTTCCTTTGGTAACAGAATGGGGGAGATTGGGAACGATAATTGACTGATCAATAGCCGACTTGCGAATTACGCATCAATAGTCACATACAAAGGAATCAAGACGAGGCGCCGTGCTAAAGACAATATATTTTTCACAAAAAAGCACGGCGCCTCGTCTTGATTCCTTTGTATGTGACTATTGATGCGTAATTCGCAAGTCGGATATTGCTCAAATAATTGTTTAATTGGTCGATGAATTGATTTCAAGATTGACTGATTGATTTATTTTGATTGACTGGTTTATTAAGTGATTGATTGAATGTTTAATTGATTAAATGATTTGATACAGTGAAACCTTGTTTATCCGACCACCGAAAGTACATCGAAAAGTAGTCATATTGGCGGGTTTGCTGTTAACAGGTTGACCGTTTTAACCGGGTCGTTCTTAGGCAGTGGACGTCTTAAGGTTAGCTTGAGGCGGGCTTTCACTGTAGGTTGATTGAYTAATTAATTCTCTCAGGMAAAYCTGACATCGAAATAGAAGAGGCTGTAAAGTCACTTCGAGAAGAAGCYYTRAARGGAACCATGACAACAGAYAARATGCTGACAGARTTAGAGACCCGATACGCCGAAGATAAAGATCACCTTAGCAAATTATTACGTGGCACTGATGGTCACACTATGTCCACAGAGGAGCGTTTAATTGAGTACGCGCTTTTGTTGCGTGAGGAGTTGCGTGGTAAACAAGAA